GGTGTTCTTTTTCAAGAGAAGAAATCTAGATCTTTATAAGAAATCTCTCCTTATTTTCATGTGGAGAATTAAGTCAAATTTTAAATACTCGGTGAATCGACACAACCAAAGCCGCTGGCCATCGAGTCAGTCAGAGGAGGAGCGCTGCCAGTACCAACCTCTGAGCAGCACCACAACGCCAGGGCTTATGGAGGGCACTGGCCATCGTCAGCCATCGTCCTGTTTCCTCTTATCCCACAGTCGTCTGGCAACTTCTGAGGTAAGTGTGTATCACTGACAAATCATCCTCACCCCATTCTGCCAACTCTAGAAATAGGCGTACCACATCACTTTAAAAAAATCTAACTTGAAAGATAAGTCATTAATACCAATACTATAGACTTGATTTGTTGTTGCTATCCCTCACTAAGGACAGAGCAAGAATTGAGTCTTGCTCATCTTTCAAAACATTGTTCCATGCCTGGCACACAGAAACTTCTAATGGCCCATTTTAATAGGTAATTTTGTTGAATTAATGAACAATTTTTCTTTTTTTTCTTTTTTTTTTTTTTGAGAAAGATATATTTGGTATAGGGCATGTGCACTTTCCAGACAGAGAGACAGGAAGTGAGAAATCATCCCTTCTCCCCCAGGGGGAGGGGGAGGGTATGGCCATGCCACAATCCCTTCTCCTCCACTCTCCTCTTGGGATCTTGGGCACGCACATATACACTCGGTGTGAGTTTTCAACCACTGGGTCCAAGACTCGAACATTGGTCAGCTACATGGGAGTCCAGCAGCACAATCATTATGCCATCTGCAGATCCCAACCATTTTAATCTGAAAAAAAGAAATCTAACTTGAAAATCAGGCTATGAGCAACAGCTATGCTGTAAGAGTCATTCTAGGTTACTTTAAAACAAACAAAAAAAAAACTTACTTTCATGTGTTTATTTTTCATTTTCCAGAGGGTACATATTCTCATCAGAGTAAGAGAGACAGAGAAGGAGCAGGAGGAAGCACTCCCTAAAAGACATGATCATTCTGCAGTTCCTTTTTTATTTCCCTTCTCTGCCAGGATTTAGGGTACACATGTACAAGTACCCAGCATGTTTCTCAAGTCACAGGGCCCAGGGTCCAAACCATTTGTGTGGCTATTGGGGGAGGCCACAGGGTCAGCCCCTCAAAAGCTTCTTTCATTCCATGTATGGAATCATATTGCACTGAATTTTAAATTCTTTAATCAGGCTGCATGTAACTGGAAAATTAAGTTTCACTGTCAGAAATTAAA